CTCCAGAAATGTATTTATTTATTAAGTGTTCAACATCTATTAGCACTTTCCATAAAAACAAAGTGATCTTGGGCTAATGCACAAAGTGAAGCACTGTTTGTCATGTCAAAAATGGTGGATTTGTATATCCAAAGGACAAGTTTTTCTGTCCTTCAGATAATTTTATTTAAATGTTTTGATTTCAGAACATAAGAGAACCTCCTTTACAATTAGCCCCAATTGATTCAGACATAAATATTGATAAATCTTCTAAACTGGTGGTTCTCTAGTTGTTGTTTTTATTTTTTAACAAGTATCACATTGGTAAGTAATACCTTCTTTAAAGTACCGCCATACTATCAACATGCAGGACTTGATGGAAGATCTTCCTACAGCTTCACTGACGGAAGATGATTAAATACAAGCTCCATTTTTACAGACACCGAATTTTTCCAATTTGAAGAGAAAGTCAACAACGAGGTTCATATAAATCATAATTGTAAGACAGAAAACTGGAGGTTTCTGATCCAAATTTATTGTAAAACACAGGGTAAATGAAACAGTGCTGTCTAGCTGTCTGTCCTTTTGAAGAACTTGCTGCTGCAGTCCTTGCACAAAAATGGAGAGAAAGATTTTGTCATTAGCTTCTGTTGCTAACAGTAGACAGCTAAGTGGGCTAAATAAGCACATCAGTTAGCAAATCCAACTGGTCTTCCATTTGATTTCTAACATGGTTTTGTCATATTTGGACAGAATCTTTGACTTTGGGTGTCAATAGAGCAAAACATATGCAGTCTGGTTGTCTTGGGTTTACTATCTTCTGCTGAATCAAAGTCAATTTGTTTGCTTTCACTTTGCAAATTATAGTTTTTTAAAAAAGTATCGCTCAATGCAGCCCAAGAACCACAATTTAAAAGTCATGGATTTCAGCTAATTGAGGAAAATAACCACTAAAAGGTGCAGAAAAAATATTTTCTACTTTTATTGAAGATTTAAGGTATTGCATTGAATCATCTGTTTTCATTCTGTTTTCACTTCAAACCACCAAGGAAATAAAGGCTACAATATCCCAAAGGCTTTAAAGAAAAATGATGCGTTGAGGTAACATAACTTTTATTGTGTTGAACAGGATTGTTCCGCAGCTTTTGCTGCAGCTGGTATTTATAATAAACAGGCTGACAGTGTATTTTTAGCCATTTTCCAGAATGTTATTATCATGTTTATCTGTTCTTAGTCTTGTGATTATCACCTCCTCACCAAAACGGGAGACTCGTGATTTCAGCCCCTTCCACTCAAAGACAAACATTGTGGATGGTTTAGTTTGTTTGTCAGCAGCGGCGCGTCGTGCAAAAGGGGGTTTAGGCTCTTGTCAGTAAACAGCAGCCTCGCCATGTTAGAAAAACCGCAGGAACAAAACGTGGCGCTCGTTACACCCAGCGATGTCTGTGCTGTTTACAGGTAAACACCAGAGCGGCGTGAGCACTCCCGTGTTTGTGCAATAAACAACCAGGCTTGTTGTGGCTACACACAGCACAGAGGTGTGACAACGCTCACACACATGGAAAGCTTTGCCTTTGGCCTCGTTTAGCAACAAATGGAAGACACTAGAGGCACTTTTTTTCTGTTCCCAGGCGGAAAGCCGGACAGTTTGTTCAAGTCACACTAGTAGTGACCGACGTCGCAAAGACGACAGATTTGCTAATCCCTGAAGAAAAGGCACCTTTTGTGCTGTTTCCATCTATTTTGGACTCGTCCCGTACGGGAGAGTTGGCGAGATCACAAGACTCTGAACACAAGGCAAACAGCCAAAACCAAAAAAATGTCCTTTTATCAGGGGGAACACATAGCTCTCTTAATTTCCTTGCTGTTTGACTTTGTTGCAGACATGTTTTAAAATGTTTATTTTTGAAAAAAAGGAAAAAAAAAACATTTAATTTCCTGAGTCACAGCCACGGAGCAACATTGAACATTTTAAAAGACGAATCAGTGGCACAGTCTTTTTGTGTTCCTCACTTTGTGTGTGTTAATTTATTATCAGCACTTACTAAACTGTTGTCCTTTAGTTACAAGATCATATAAATGCCTTGATTTTTAACACCAGCGTTTAACAACGTCAGCAAAACTACCCTGACCAGACTGATGAAACGCTTTCAACTCTCTTCCTGCCAAACATCTGTCTCTTCCAAAGAAGAAGAAGAAGCAGCTTGCTGACCTGGTGGAAGGTGAACCATTTATTTACTTTTTAACTGCAGTGTTGTCCTCCATGTCACACCAAAGAGATGGATGTGCTCATTTTCCTTTGTGCATCTCTTTTTTTGTACCTGAACTGAAAAGACTGTTATTCCTCGTGTGTATTGTCCATCTGCTGAACTCATTAAAGACGACAGAAGTTATTTAACTCATGTGTTGCGCTTGTTGTTGCTGCAGATATGTTTAGATTCATAACTTCAAGGAGTTGATTTAGATTTTTAAGACCATAAAGTCCTCATATTGAAAATGTTATTTAAAAAAAAAACTTTGATTGAAATTGAAAAACTGGATATGTGAAAGACAAAAGAAGCTTCAGTCCTTAGCTAAGCAGAGTCTGAAAGTCAAGTTCTTAAGTCATGATGGGAAAGAAGGCAACAATGTGACACAATGTTCCACGTTTTCTCCAGGTCTTCAGCCATTAAATCTTTGTGGGTGACTTTTTCTTTTTGTATACATAAAACTGTCATCTCCAAGATTTTCCATAAACATCACAAAAAAAAATCTAAATAAAATGTGTCCTTTAGAATCAACTCTGGATGTCAAGGTCGAGGTTTATTTTGTAGCCGATACAATTTCAAATCATTTAGGATACTTTAAATATGCTCTACAAATTATTTTCCAAATGAGCCCATTTTCCACAAATAATTCAGTTTATGTTTCACAGAATAAAAAACAGCAAACAGGTGAATCCACAAATACTAAAAGGTGGAGGTTCATTATGATTGTATTGAGCTCAAAGGGTTTTTTTTTTGTCTGGCTTCACTAAACGTTGCGCTTGCTGCGACTTCCTCACAGAAATGTCAAGATTAGCTATCTTTTTGATTTAACTATCATAATTCTTATTAATATTATTATTTCTTAATTTATTCTCAATTTCTTGTAAATTGTGGCTGCTTTCTACTTGCATGGTAATTTTTTAAACATCCACAATCAGCTTAAGATTGTTGAAATCTGAATTGATTATTTTTAATAATTACATAGTATTATTTTTTTCCTATATTGTAAGCTTCCCCTTGGTCTCTGATTCTTATTTCTTTCTGTAACCTGCTGTTGATACACCCGAATCATCCACAATAAGCAACTTTTCTGTTATATTCTATAGTTTCTTCATTATTTTAGGTGTCTACCTAGTGGCTGCTGGTCCATATTCCCTCAGAGATCCGTTTATTTTTCATACCCTCTCCTGTGCTGCTCCCCATCGGTCACAGCCGCAGCCTTCATGTCGAGTGGTGCATGCAGGGCGCCTCCTGCAGAGCGCAGCAACACTTGAAACACCTTGACCTTTGTTCCCAGCTACCACACTCAATAAAACTGCCACCGACCTGTCACTTCTGAAGGTCACCGGGGGCACAATGGCAGAGTTTGGTTGTAAACATACGGCTTGAAACAAGCTCCGAAGAGACGACACACACACACACAGACTCAGGACACCATCAACAGGATTCGGTGCGGAGGCTGACTGCAGTGATGAACCAGAGATTAACTCAATTACAAGAAATTCTCACCTACTCTCAAATCTTGACTTCTTGGAAATCAGCTGTTGCCTTGGTGATGTGCAGGCATAGCAAGGGTTAGCTTGGCAGCAGGAGCAGGAGGCGGGAGATGATCAAGGAAAAGAACCGTGGCTTATTTTGATCAAACAATTCTGCATTCAAGGACATAAACACAGCACTCTTCTAGTTTCTTCACTTAAATTATACATATAAACTTAGCTTTCAAAATAATGTTTCTTCTTTTTGGAAGGTATACAATATGCACCATGCTTTGGAAAAGTGTTCAGATTTTCTGAATATTTTTTGCAAACTACAAACTTTAAAATATGTCGCTGGGATTCCACACACAAATACAAGGTTGCATCGTGGAAGACTGCTGATGCATGTCTTGTTTGTTTGTTCGACAAAGAAAAAATGTTAAAGTGTGGCAAACATTTGTTCGGTTCCTATCAGTAAACATTTTGCAGAACACTTTGCACCTTTGATTACAGTTTCAAGGCCTTAGAGGTATTTCTCTACCAGCTTTTTTACATCCACAGCACTGTTTCTCAAACTTTTTCATGCAAAGATCCACCTGCCACATTTCAGATACACTCACAGACCACCTAATTTGAAATTGCCCCCACAAGAACACATCTTAAACCTGAAATGAACTTTAGCGTCTTAACTCATTGTTCTTGTTCCTCCTGACGTGAAAGGTGGAGCTGTAACTGGCCCACCATAAAACCATGAACGAATCTACTCAGGGATTTTGAGCTATTTGCAGCTTCTGAAAGTGTGTTTTCTCAACTTCCCAAAGATAGAAAACACATAGAAATAAAAAAACAAAAAACTTTTATTAGATATTATTACATTATTGTGTGGAATAATAATGTTTCAGGGCTTTTTGTGATTCAGAAGGCTAATTAAAGAAAAATAGACTTGAGTTGCGTTGGAAAAAAATTATCATTTTCCTTCAGCCAGTAGATAAGCCAACATAAATAATTAATATTTATTGTATTCAATAAATATGGGCAAATATCATTGGAATGCTGTGCTGTGCACCACAAGCTGCAGTTTAGTTCTGAGTCACTTGAGGGCGCTGTTGCATCAACAAAAAAACCTTTAAATAAAAACTGTCAACACAGAGAAACACTCGCGTCCCGTCACCGTATTTAGCTCCAGTAAAACTTGGTTCACTAGATCATTTTCTTTCCCGTCTGCTTGTGGAAACGACTACATTTCCCAGAAGGCCAGCGGCTGGATTCTTTTTTTTTTTTAACTCTTGTTCTCAGTTTGCAGCTGGAACAACTGGATCAACTCGCAGCTGCAGTGGATATGTTAATACATTTATATAGCCTATATATATATATTTTTCCCTCTTTTTAATCTGATTCCTATTTGAAGGAGTTTCTTTAAATAACTTATTCAGTCGGTTTTCTTTTGATTAGAAATTTTACTCCAGATCTACAGACATATTTTTGGGGGATTATTATCATTATTATTTATTTATTATTATTATTTTCCTTATTATTAAACGCTTGGTCGGGGCTGCAGCTCGGTGCGTGCAGCGGCAGCATCACAGTAAGGCTTGGACTGGACGCGGCTCCCGGTGCCAAAGCCTTTCCCCCCAATCTGCGCTTCTCCTCCCGGCCGGGGGAAGTTCAGCTCACACCGAGCCAGGACCAGCAGGCCAGGGCGGCAGCCAACACCCCGAGCAGGAGAAAAGAAAAAAGAAAAGAAAAAGTTGAAGAAGAACCGGAAGATGGGCTGCACGATCAGCGCCGAGGATAAAGCCGCGGTGGAGAGGAGTAAAATGATTGATAAAAACATACGAGAGGACAGAGAGAAATCATCCAGAGAGGTGAAACTGCTTCTACTCGGTATGAAACCATACCTGATGCTTCTTCTTCTTCTTTTACTGCTTTAATGCCTGCAGAGTCTGTAAGGTTACTTTTCTTTTCTTTTTTCTTTTTTTTTTTTAATTTTCCATTCCTTCACCGCCACTTATTAGTTTGCAGTCTGGGAACTCCAGCACTCCTCCCCTTTCTCTCCCAGTCAGGGAGCTGGGAGTCATCGTTCCCTGAGAGAACTGTCAGAGAGAAACCAGATGTTGGTCAAAGAGCAACTGCAGGCTTTCTCTCAGTGTTGAGTCGTTGAAAAGAAGCAAGAGTGGCGTGCTTACATAAGAGGACAAGTGCAGTCATTTGTCACTGAAGATGTTGGCAAACAGCAGCAGCTCTGTTTCACTTCAGCTCATCAGAGAAGCTGAACAACTGAACAAGAATGTTGCAAGGAGCAGGAAATGTTTCTGGATCTGCATGCAAGCTGGCATTCATGGCTGCAGCTAATTAGACAAGGATGCCATCTGACAGTTCGGTTATTTAGTGATCTAGTTGGAAAAGTGAAACTTTGATAAGAATTGTATGAAATTTGATGATTTTGTTGATGGAGAACCATAAAACAGTTTTCTCAGAAAAATAGATTATTACATTAGACCAAAACAAGATGGATTTTTTTAATACATGTTGCCTGATACACAATGCAAGGAGGGTAGGTCTCTACTATAGAAAGCCGCTGTTGACATAATTCTGTATCAGGCATTTGAATGGAAGATTTAGTGGAAGGAAAATACTTGGTACAAATTGGTGTGCCGAGCAAGAGGGATAGCAGCGGGCTTGAAAAGCGTCGTGAAGCTCTTAGCTCCATTTCACTTTTAGTTTTCATCCTTGAGGAGATGTTTGAAAATTAACAGAAACAAACACCTGCTTTTCACATTTGAGACAGCCGAAATAAATTAACTTAACAATTTGCTCGTACAGTAGCCCATGTTGGTCAAATTAAATTTTATATTTTTTCATAACGTTGCCCCAAATTCTAGACTTTAAGGAGGAAAGTTGTCAGCGTCATTCTGCTGCTCTGTCTATGCCGTATGTCCTGACATTGCACCTGAATACAGTGAATGTCGATTAATGGTATGAACTTGATTTTAAGAGCTGTTTTCTTTCTCTTCAACTGTTCAATCCGCTGTTTTTAAATCCTAAAAGAACCAGGCCCGAGCCGGAGGACGTGGTGCGCCTCATCCAACTGGGGCAGAAGATCCTCCTGGTGAATCTCTGTGCGTGTCTGCATGGAAAGCGTCATCTACATGCGCACTACAAAATTGTATTAAGTTGACCTTATTCCAAAGAGGAAGACATTCCGGTTGCATGAGTTACATGTACAAACTGTTGTGCCTCTGAAAAGTTAAGGCCCCTCACGTTTTTTAGAATCTGTCACATTAAATGTATTTTATCAGGATTTTATCCAACATTTTGAAAAAAAAAAAAAAAAACAGAATGGAGCTCTAACTTAAAAAAAAAAGTGTCACAAGTAACTGAATTAAGTTTGTCTTTATTTACATTTATTTATCTTGACAACTTAAAATGCTTGATAAATGAACTCAGATAAGCTTCATTTGATCACACGTGACCAATTAATGCAATATATTTAAGCTGCATCAACTATTCTCTTTTTTTTTAGTGTAGATCAAAACAAAGCAGAGGAAGAAAAGGAGTCAGACTTGGTCTTGATTTGAGCTTAAATTAGGTTTCTTTTTTTTTTTTTACATTAGCAGAAGCAGTTTGCTCACTTCAATTGATTCAAAATCTTCAACCAGCTGACGTGATTTATTTATTTTTTCACTGAACTCACTGTTCATTTGTTGCTGCTCTCCCAGCGAACCTGTCGCCACACAGAGATGCCAGGAGGATTACACTCCCAGCTGCGCTCAGCATTTCCAGCTTGTCCCAAACCTTTAAGCCGCCCAAATTCTTTGCAGCCAAACTAAAAGAAGAAGAAAAAAACAACTATGATAGATGTTTAGAAAAACTATAAAATATGACAAGAAAGCAAAGCTTATTGGAAGCAAAATATTAAAAATGTGGAATATTGTTTCATGTTCCACTTCTGAAACATTCAAAATGAACTTCACAAAACGATTTACGCCCAGAATGATCAGAGCGTCCCATCATATTGCGCAACATTTTTTCAGATAATCTAATTACTGCTGGACTCAAACATCTTCTCAGGGTCATCAAGAGTAGCAGATATGTAATTAGATGGAGGAGTCTGAGGACAGATGTGACATGTCGGGTCATGCTGCAGGACGTCCTGAGCAGCTGCAGCAGAATGCACCTTAAATTGCATAGAAACATCTCCGCTCTGCAGTCGTATTCCTGAGCACTGAAATGTGTTTATTAGTGATAATCTAATGAGGCAGACATGGTTTGTCTGAGGAACGGACGAACCTGTCGGTAATAATCACACAGAAGCTGAATCAGCGGGTTAATCGATTCTGTGCAGGGAATCTGATTTGTTTTGACGAGACCAGAGGAGAATATACCACTTCCCTTACAGTTTACCCTTCTGCAGAAATCCCACTTTACATCAATTGTTATGACCAATAGCAACCACTGGCAACCTTTGCTCTACATCCACTCATTGCTGTTGCTATAATGGGTTTTCTTACTTGTTCTTTCTCAACTATTATTGTTCCAGATCCCATCTCTGATACCACGAAGCATTGTTTTCCCCCCATAAAGCACTTCCTGTCAGCCCACAACTCTGAGTCAACTGTTCCCCTTATATATTTTATCTCTACTCTTGTACGTCAAAGACCCTCTTTTAGGTGTTACATGGCAAAAAAATATATATATTCATATTCCTTGAATGGCTCCACATTTTGTCCTGATTCAACTCTGTGCAGAGTTGGTATTCAGAGGCGGACTGGCATTCGGGATTACCAAGCGTTTCCCCAGTGAGTTAGCGGGTCGGTGGTTCATCCCGACCTGAAGACACACCCAGCAGCGATTGTTTTGTGATGCCATGTTGCCTCAAACTATGCCACATCAAGTTTGTATTAGTTCATTCAACCTTCTTTTAACCTTTAGTACATCATCTCAGCTCTGGTCAGCTGGATCTCCTTTGCTGCAGCACATGAACAAGGGCTGCAGGGCCAGATGGCTGGCATGCTTCTCCCTTTCAGAAGAAGAAAAAACTTGCCCCTTAAAGGCCGGCCATGAAACAAATAGCATCTGCGGCGCTTAATAAAAACTCAAAAGTCACGAAATGGAAAAGCTTTGTTCCTACTATTGCCACATAAATTAAATCTGCCTCTCATATCCAACAGAGATATGATTGCAAGCTTCCACCTTTTTTCAGTTAAAGAGAACGACTGTCATGATGGTGAAAAACTTACATTTCAGGTTCGTTGCACCAGATTCTCCAAAAGTTAGGACATTTTCTTTCGGTGGATTGTTAAATTACAATCTGGTTTTTTAAGTTGTTTTTTTTTTTTTATCTGGCCTTTCTGTCCGTGTTCACGCTGGATGTTTTTATTACTGTGGATAATCTCTTACCGTCTTCAGTCAAACTTAATAGGGTCTTTTTCTTTTGCTTACGAATGAATTTTCACATTTTGACCCATCTCACATTCACCTCCGGGATTCGGAAGCTATCCTCTTCCCAAACGGTGCGATGCCTGGATATTCACACGTGAGCATAATTGTTTAAACAGATTCACTTGGAGCCTTAGGCTAAATGGAAATTCTCCTCAAGGATGAACCAGACTTGTTGGACTCCAACGTTCACTTCCTGATATCTTCACAGGTTGTTCTTCTATTCCAATTATCTCAAATGTTGTGAATTAACCAATCAGAAGTGTTCAAAGCGAAACGCATCGTCATTTCATCCGGCCTCTTCCAGATTATTCAATTTATGTAAAGTTGTACATTTCAAAACAGAAACAAAAAATATGTTTCTTATTATTATCGCATTTCTCAAACATGAATATTTTTTGGTATTTCTCAATTGCCTAAAAAAGGAAAAGCTTAGATTCATCAGTAAGGAAGCGTTGTTATGTCTCTTTGGACGGGTTTTGCACTTTAAAATTTGTTGACCAGACTTCATTCCCGACATGTACTTCATGTTGGCCTTTCATTTAAAACCTCAAATAAAAAAACTGAAGTTTGTGGTTCAGTAAAGGGACAAACGGTAAAACATTTAAGGGACATGAATGCGTTTCCATTGTTCCTGTACCACCTAAAACGGCTGGTTGTTTGGAAACATTTCTTCTGAAATACTAACCACAGAGATGTTTCCAGCCAATCACTCTGCGTCTGTGCTGGTACAGGAGGGCTAGAGGGGGAAAAGGGGGAAAAAATGTGGCTGCTGCCCGTTATTGAAGCCACAGAGTTTTAAGAGCCCCTACTCTCCTCCAATGAAACCATTCTCCTATTTGACCACAAGCAGTGAATCATAAGAAAAGTCCAAAAGTTTAGATTCCTGTAAAAAGAGGCTCGGTTTGGAGTCTTGCTTCGGTGTGGGTTTGCGTCGATGTGAATGCCTGTGCAGAGTTGGTTTGTGAACTGGCAGGCGTCCAGCGTTGGTGATCAGCCAAGAAATGCAGTGAATGAGGGAACTGGTGGCTGTGAGGACCGAGGAGGTGAATCAGCGCAATTTGTCTTCTCCTGTGACCGGCTTAAATCTCTTCTGCTGCCGTCAGCTCAACCAAACAATTCCAGGATTTAATTCCAGTTGAACAGCAATCTGAACACAATATTCAGCTCTGATCCCCCTTGACAATATCCAGCTGCTGAAGGCCACAGGAATGTGTTCTGACACCTTTTCCATACAGAACAATGCTAAGCCCATTATTTTGTGTTTTGACACGGCTGCTCCCTTTAGGAAAACACCAGCAAAAATATTTTTTAATTCCACCGCCTGGAAAACTCATGATGCAGTTTCTGATGATTTACAAAGCAAAGCAAACGTGGGTCTGCTGCTGCCACGACGAGCTAAGAAGACGTGTTTATGGAAATAGTTTGTCTTGAGCTGTCTGAGTTTGACCCGCAGTGTTTCACATGCACACATGCTTTCACTGCTCTTTAACCCAAGGAGAACCGGTGCAGCTTATTCATGCTTCCCCCTTTCAGAAGTGAAAGCAAAGCGAGTTTGTTTTACCCAAAGCTGCTCTTTTCAGCTCACAGTTTGGCGTTTTTGCTGCTGAATCAAGTGCAAGCCTCAGTCCTTGAGAACAGAGGTTTTTTATCTCCAGCACATGTTTTGGATCAGAGCTGAGGAAATGTTTAGTTTTTGGGATGATGTTTTGAACAACTGATGTTGTTTTGTTTAGAGTCAGTTGGCATTGCACAACTCGGTAGTTACTGCAGAAGTGAAATTACAGAATTGTGCATAAAATGTCCCATATCTGCACCTCGACTATTTGTTTTAAAGAGTTAAATCCAGAATGGAATAATTTGTCAGTCAATGTAAACGTTGCTGCTCAGCTCAGCCTGGCTTTGTTGGTTTTTGGTCGTTCTGTAAAGCTTCACCTGGGTGAATCCATAAATACCTGAGACTCCTTCTAAAAACTCCACATTTCATTAGATCGGAAACCAAGTACTACATTATAAAACTGACCATTCTTAAAACCAAGAAAACTACAAACAATCCTAGAGATTTTCTTTCTAAATCTGCTATGCAACATTAGGTTTTCTTCAGTCAGAGACATCGTCTGATTTACAGTAACACAGACTTCTACAGGAGATCTTTCTTGCCCACAGACATCGTTATTTACAACAACCTTTTTGAAGAACCTTGTAACAGGAGTAACACCATGTAATTTATTAAAGTATCTCTGAATTTGAATCAAACATACCTTATTAAGAAACAGGTTTGGGTTTTCCTTTTCCTGATGTTGTGCCTGGCTAGTGTTCAGCTTCACATCGTTGTTACAGGTTTTTGCAGAAGTATTAATGTGGCTTAAGTTTTTTTTCTCCATGTTGGGACACAACAGCCACAAAACTGCATAATTGTAAGGCGGAAGAAAAATAAGAGCAGCTATCAAACAGCTTTTCTTATAGAATCAAAGACATTTCATTATTTGTTCTTTATTTGCAATTTGGGTCACTATTTCTTCTGCATTTAGCAAAGTTTAACAAAATAATTTAAAACACATTCAGGCCCACCCACATCCGTTTTTGTTTAAATCATGCTGGATGTATTAAAATTTAAAAGAAGAAAACATTTACCACTGTGGGGAAATTCTAAAAATACAATCTTTTTTTTTCCGCTTAATTAGGAACAAATTGAAGTCTCCTCCTCTGTTTACTACATGTGCTGATGGGTCAAAGTTGTACCACTCTGTAATCTCAGTCAGAATTAATCTGGAGGACAAACGTGACCCCTGGGTCGCATTTGGACTTTACTGGACTTTCTTACCAACAGTTTTTATTCCGGTTTTAGGTTGTTGGTGGGAAGCAGTTGCATCCCGTCATTTTTGTGGCATGAAGCTGAATAAGAACATTCCCATAAATATTAATAGATGCAGTGCAGAGTTTCTGAAACAACTATTTTAAGGTTTTCTTTGTGTATAAAAAAAATGTCTGTACCACGGCCAGCAGCAGGGTTGGAAATGCAGCAGAGAAAAAAAATTCTGCATTCTTAAGATTTGACTAAAAATAATCAGCTGAAGCTAAACGGCGTTCCACCTTCCACATGTTTCTTCCAGCAGAGTTTCATGGTTCCAGTAACACGACAAATCATCTGTAACAGAAAAATAACAATAATAAAAAGAGCCGAACTTGCATGAGGCCTTCCTGTAAACCGTTTCCATCAATGGGCACAGCTGGGTTTGGGCCCGCCAACAGGCTGGTGTTTGGCTCAAACTGCTCACACACTCTTTGAGTCGTTTCTGTTTTTCCCTGAAGCCCAGCACTGCGCGATATGTGGAAAAAAAACACGGAGACAGCCAGACACATGGCGGCTGCTTCCTGTTTGGCTGATTGTTGCACAAATTAATTGTTGGAGTGAAATTGTTTCCCTGCTCTGCAGTATTTAGAATTTCACTCATCGTAATGGAGGCTTTGGGAAGATTTGACCTCTCAGTCATCGGTTAATCATCCGTCACAGATCGCTGATATTGTATTGTCAAAGTTGAAGTTAATCTCATGTCAGGGTCTGATGATTTTCTCTGTTTTTTTCACTCCTACCAGCTGCAGAACTGTGCAAAAGACTCAGTGCCTCCATTTCTCAATATAACTTGTTTCTGTGGAGACAAATTTTCTTGTGTTTGTTGTCTCAGTTTTGCAAAGGGTTTATGTCTTTATTTTGTCCCTTTAATGTGAACATGAAACTAAATACAAATTCCTCTTTAAGTGCTTCCTCTATGAAAAGAAAACCAAAAGAGAACAAAGGCTGAAAGACAAAAGAGTGTATCGGCGTCAGGCAGGCGTTCCTGGACACAAGCTGTCTTGATGAAGTAAATGAAACATCATCTGATCTAACAGCACTGGGAAAAACTGTCAGAAATAATAAAGGAACTGCAACATGTGCCTCTAAGGGAGAGTTTATAGGTAAAAACCGACACTGACAGAAACAAACAAATAAATCCTGCTGCTGGTAAGAATTATTATTATAAAAGGTACAGAAATAACTTGTTGGATTTATATTTGAAAGAACTGTCCTATTGTCATCTTCAGTACAAAATAAGAATTTTGTAAAAACAAATTTAAATTTAGGGTTTAAATGGACAAAGATTTTTTTTTTTATTGCTGCGACAGCAGTTAGTAAATATTGATTACAAAATGCTAACATTTTAGCACAAATTAGTATCAACATGCACTCAATTTAATTGGCCTACAAGTGAACGTACTGTTTACATTTTATCTTTTATTATTAAGGTTTATGTTATCACAATTCATCCATTATAAGTGTTAATCAAAACTATTGAAAATAATCAACGACAATCAAATGAAAAGACTATAAGAATCACTACATATATTTAGTTAAAATAAATATATCAGATTCTAGAATAATCTGCACTAAGTTAAATAAGTAAAACTTTGTCATATTTCACACTTTATCTTGTCGAAATCAGTATTTATCTGAAAATATTATCTGCTTGTATATTAAAACAATATTAACTCAGTGATAGTGATTATCACTAGAAACACCCAGAAATCTTGTTTAATATTCAGTGACAAATATTTTTCTGAAACTTTGTCTATACCTCAATAAACTATTATTTACAAAACATATGCTATTTCTAAGAGGTTGTCAATATCTTGCTTTAACGATAAGTTTTTGTGTGTTCTTATGTGACCCTGCTTTCCGCTGAACAGAGACAATTTGCATCCAGAAAACATTGTTCTATTTTAGACATTTTTTTTATGTTCCAATGACTCAGATCACCAGCCCCTCCAGCATAAACGAATGATGAATTCACTCCCTGCACTCACAAAGTGGAGAAGAATTGATTCTATGACATGAGATTATTTTCACATTTTAGACCATCTGAGCTACTCTGTGCTGATGCCAAGTATTAATGCTTCATTTTACCTCTTTCCCCTATTTTTCCAGGTGCCGGGGAATCCGGAAAGAGCACTATTGTCAAGCAGATGAAGTAAGTCCAGACTTTCATCACAGTCAGGATGCTGGTCTCCACGGCTTTTCACACTTCCTGCAGGAATCCTCTCTGCTATTTTTATTTCTCGCTGATGAAAGACAGGCTCGCTCGCTCTTTTAGTTGCCACATTGTTGCGCTCATCTGTCTGGAAAAATTGTAGCAGCATGGCGGAAACTTTACTTTGTGATCCTCGGGCAGAGAGGAGGAAGCCCCTCTTTTTTTATTTTTTATATTTTTGCAAATCACGTAAAAAAAAAGGCCCCAGAGGCTGGTTGCTGCCTGGCAGGACCTGAATAGAGTCGGCCGGTTCCCACGCTAAGCATGCCGTTTGCTCACTGAAGCTCAAAGTTCGGCGAGGCATGAGATCTGCCAAACGTGGAATTAGATATGAGACTGTTAATCCTGCTGTTTGTCTCTCATATTTGTATGGAATATGAGAGTCTGCTCTGATTTCATTTATGCTTTAGAATCATCCATGAGGACGGCTACTCGGAAGAAGAGTGCAAGCAGTACAAAGTGGTGGTGTACAGCAACACCATCCAGTCCATCATGGCCATCATCAGGGCGATGGGGCTGCTGAAGATTGATTTTGGCGATGCTGCCCGGGCGGTAAGTCAACGGCCTCCTCCTCACTTGTGGCTTAAGTCAACACAGGAGGGATTTTGCAGCGTCAGCAGTTGTCGATGGTGTCTTACAGGACGACGCGCGTCAGCTGTTCACCCTCGCCAGCACGGCGGAGGAAGGAGTGATGTCTCCGGAGCTGACCGCCGTCATCCGCAAGCTGTGGCGCGACAGTGGCGTCCGGGCCTGCTTCGACCGATCTCGAGAGTATCAGCTCAACGACTCGGCTGCATAGTGAGGACGTCACACAGAGCGCTGCGCATCAATCAGCAGCTCCAGATAAGAGCTGAACACATCTCAGTTGTTGATAAAAATGACACTTTCCCCCTAACTAGGGGTGTGCTGATAAATCGGCCCCAATTTTGAAAGATCGTCAGCAACAGAATCAGTCGCTGTCCTCTGTTGCTCTGCCGTGACAGACGGCTGACAGACCCACCAGGTCATGTCTGCACATTCGCTGACGACACTGTTACCAACTCAGCAACTTTCTTGCTATATTTACCAACATTTTAGATAAAAATATCAGAAATCAGGTCAGGCTTTTTAAACCATTTGGAAAACAACAATCAGTGCGTCCTTTTCTCTAACACGTTCTCTGGACTGCATGTTTTCACAAATTGCGGTGTTAAAATCTTTGGTTAATTTCATTTGACAGACGAAGACAGGGTAGTGAATAATTGTGAAATGGAACAAAAAGATATGTGGTTATGTATACATTTTTCTATTTGACCCCTTTTACTCTGATAGCCCCTAATAAAGTCCAATCATCAGGCAGCTGTTCTGTGCAGTCCATTGAGGAACAAACCAGACGGGTGAAGAGGGATAAAGAAGAATTTAGGTATAAAGTAGTACTTTGTGCTCACTGCTCAATCTGAAATTTGAAAGAATGTGGCACAACTTTAAATCTGCCAAAGTACTGATCTCAGCTCAAACTGACAGAATCAACAGGGACGACGTTCAGAGCTCGCCAGGTCAGGTGTCACAATCTGTGGTCAAGACAACAATCAGCCTTTCTGGTGCGGCAATAAAGCCACTGCTGAGAGATCAGACGGCACCGAATGCAAACGTTTTGGCCAACATGCAAACCACTGGTTGAAAATTAACTCGGCACATCAACCCTGGACATACAGCCAGAAGAAAACGGTTTGATCAGAACATTTTCTTGCAGTAGAATGGCCCAGTCAAAGCCCAGAAAGAAATCCAAGTGGTGGTAAGACTGGAAAATAACCAACACACTTCATATAACCTCAAAGAGTCAGAGTTGTTTTGCAAAAAAGGAATTCAAAAAAGATATAAAGCCGGTCCACGCTGTTAATATTTTCATTTGTTAAAAGAGATCTTAGACATTTTTAGAAAAATATGTTAAATACTACTGTTTCTTGATTTATCATATTAAGTTATTGTAAAATACTCTAAGTTTGTGGCTGTAATATGATATGAAGGGCTGCTGTATTTTACCACGCTAGTAATGAAACATGTTACTATTGTCAACCACTGAGTGAAACAAGAGTGTTTTACTTGAAAAAGCAAACAAAGAGCCTAATATAGCCTCTATCTTATATTACTAATCAAACACAGATGCAGCTCATGCAGTTCTGTTTTGCTTTATGTCACACCCATCCTGAGCAAAAATCTCGCCCAGTGTGAAGGACGTGTTCTTTGTTGTGCAAACACCCGAGTTGTCATGACTCTCTATGCGCTGTGAGCGAACCCTGCGACAAGACAAACCAGTGGAGTCAGTCTGTTTTTACTCAACCAACCAGAAGCCAGTGTTTATCACCCCTGAAATTATGAGCCCATATTTAGTATTGCTCTGTGGCGTCCAGAGATGTTTTGCTCTAAGTATATTGAGAGATGTTTTCCTGTCGAGCGTGACATTTTGTTCGTTTTAAAAGCCTCTTGAGAATGAAATTAATTGGCGTGGTGTCGAAAGGGGGTGCAAACAAACAATTAATCACCGAGAGAAAAAAGAAAACGATTTGAGTTTGCCACAAACATAAATATTTGCTGCTACATCATGTCCTTTTTTGTCCCTCAGCTACTTGAACGCGTTGGACAGGATCTGCAAACCGAACTACATCCCCACTCAGCAGGATGTGTTGCGCACCCGGGTGAAGACCACAGGGATCGTGGAAACTCACTTCACCTTCAAAGACCTCTACTTCAAGTTAGTATTGATGAATCATGGCAGAGCTCAGCCTTCAGGGAGTTTTTGTAGCTATAAAGAAAATCCTCTCATACTTAAACAGGTCTGGTCTTTGTTTTAAATGGTGGATGTGTTCATTGTTTAGTTGTTCAAATACATTTTGATTGTTTTTTGGAAACTGCGCACTTACAAGACATAAAGGCATGAAGACTAGTTAGGCTGTTTCTTTTTTTTATGTTGAATTTTGCACAAAGTGGCACGCAGAGGAAAGTGGGATGATGAGAAATGTGGCATGTACTTGTCCTCTTGTCTTTGCCTAAGTTGCTCAGGCTCAGTCAAATCCCACAGAGAGCATCTGTGAACACAAACTTCCAAAGACTGTCAGTTTAATTTTGCTCTGGACTTTGACTAGGCCATTCTCATGTACTTTGCATTGTAGTTCTGGTCATGTATTTAGGATATTTTTCCTGCTGAAAGGTGAACCTTGGTTATAAGTCAGATTTTTAGCTTCATCCGTATTCCCATCAGCACCTGACCATCCTCCAGGTGCCTTGCAGAAGAAAAGCTCCCCACAGCACAATACTGCCAACACCATGTTTCCACCATAAGCTGTGTCCAGACTCCAGGGCGATGAGTAGAGTTAGTTTTCTGCCTCACAGAGGTTTGCATGTTGACCAGAACAGTTTGAATTTGATCTCATCTGACTGGTAATGGGATTTCTTATTGCTTTGTTAAAAAACGACTTTCCATAAAGCCCAGATTTGTGGATTACATGGTGAATATTGGCCGTGTTTACAATTCCTTACACCTGAGCTGTGGATCTCTGCAGCTCCTCCAGAGTTACGATGGACCTCTTGGCTGCTTCTTTCTTTAATGTTCTCTGTGCCTCTTACGTTTTATTCTTTTAGGATGGTGAATCGAACAAAAAAATTGATGACATTTTATTTTTGCAAGATTTTTTTTAAAACTATACATTCTTATTTTGTCCAATATAATGGACAAAACACTTTGTGTTGGTTTACCTCATGAAATCCCAATGAAATATGTTACGTCTGCAGTTCCAGCATGACAAAGAAAAGGTTTTAAAAACTTTGTGAGGCACTTTTATTAGTTTTCTTTTGAAACTATTCTGTCTGTGTTATTTTCCCCATTTGGCTGATGTTGCTTTGATCCGACATGCAAACCATGGCTTATCTTATAAACGCTGATTAATTTTTTGCTCTAATGCTATGTGAGCCACTTTTATAATTATATTGCCTCCCTCCTCTTTACATTATTTTTTTCCCCTCCAGCTTCTGTACTCTGAAATATTGGCAGAGCATTAGCTGTAATAACATCGGTGCTCAGAACCTCAAAGTGTGCAATCACTGAATTGGTGTCACAGGACAGGGCGTTCTTTCGTTTCTGTGTCAGCCTGGGATAGATATGGTTTGCCTGCAGAGCGCCTCAGGTGGAGTCGGACGCAGAGCAACACACGGACAGGAGATTACAAAGTCGGGTCGCCTGCATGGCATCTGGGTGTACGCTCTGTGTGCCTGAGCCCCGGATTATGAAACCTTGTAAACCTGATATTAAAATGACAGCAAAAGTGATCTGAGTAAACTCATCTGTTAATGCACTAAGTCTCTGCTTGTGTGTCTGCAGGATGTTTGACGTTGGCGGTCAGCGCTCGGAGAGAAAGAAGTGGATCCACTGTTTTGAAGGAGTTACCGCCATCATTTTCTGCGTGGCGCTCAGTGACTACAACCTTGTCTTGGCTGAGGATGAGGAAATGGTAGGTGACGGATGCGCGGTTGTCAGAGTGGCCATGAATTTGAGATTTATAGCCACACGATCAATATTCAGTGGTCGTAAGTTAAAAAGGTGTGCCGGCGTGGAAAATTAAACTGTGGCTGCACCATAAACAAGCAGGCCAGGACTGGAAATCAGTCAAACTCACATCAACATTCAAGTCACTGGTTTTCAATTAGTTTTGCCTTTTTGATGTAATTTATGGCTCAGCCGGATCTAATTCACCCCGAACACAAACCACTTTTTGCACATAACTCGAAGACCTCACAGTAAGCCTTGGTGCTGTTTGAAGGTTTTTCCTGTTTTTCAAGTCACATTTGCTCCTCTGTGGGGTTTTATTTTTATTCTTTTTTGCTGGAGAAAATCCCTGAACTGTGTGTTGAGATCAGCACCAACACAAAACAAGAAATGGACCAGGTGACTCTGAAATGAGCTGATTTTATTTTTACTGTCCAATCACAGAGTAGAATAAGTCAAGTTAATACACTGACAAAATAATGGAGGAAACACAAACATCATTTTTTTCAGCCAACATTGTCTTTCAGAAATCTTTGTGTTGGATTTTAGAAAACCAGAATTTCATGTTTGGTCAACGTTCCCCTGCAGAACATTTTAATAATTGTTTTTCTGCTCATTAATGTTGACATTTAAAATGTTTAAAAGCATAAATAGCACCAACTCCACGCCCAAGTCAAAATGTATAAAACAATTTAAAACAAATTGATTTGTGTTTGGACACTTTCAGTAGTACAGGTTTTAGTGCAACTTTGTATTAAAGTGTCATTAATTACCAAATGACAGTCATACACATTCATGAGGACTCCTTCATGTTCATAACAGGTGTTATTTCATGTTAATTATAGTGTCATGTCATGCTTATGCACAACCCTTCAAATAAAGTGATTCCGAATTGTTAACTAGTCAAGTTCTGTTTCTACATTACACACAGAGCCCTGTTCCTGTAAGCTGCTCTTCAAAACCGAAGAGACAAGAGTTCATGTCGTAAAGCATGGCAGATGTGTGCTAATCTTCATAAGTCAGGAAAATGCAACAAGATAATAAATACTTAGTAAACGCAACAATAGCAAAAAATGTGAACAGCTGGAACTTGACGACCAGTGCTGGATTCGTACTCAAGTTTATTTTGTCACCACTTGTAAAAGACGATGAAGAGAGACAACAAAATAGACATCTCTTGATGTCTTTACAGAGATTACATGTTAAGCAAATGACATTTCTTTACCAGCTGTGCTAATAATTGTGAGAGGCAGTGCAGACATCCGTTATGTTTCCTTGTGTTACAAGATATGGTTGATGTGGTTACGGCACATTGTGAAACAAGATTTATTGTTGGCTATCCTGCTTTCTTTAGATGAGCCAATGAGCTAAATTTAATAAAGGATGACTGCAACTTGCTGTGTGTTTTTTTAAGTTGCGTTTACTGGCGCGGCCTCCTTTGTGAAATATGATTTTACAGGCTTGTTTTCTCACAGCGTAACTTGTGGTTCGTTTCAGCTAACCATGAACAGCCATGAGGTTTTGTCTGTCTTTCATACCCGCCGGCACTAACTAGTTCTGGGCCTGCAAGGTTTTAAAGGGCCGTAAAAAGAGTCAGAGTTAAGTCTGTAACATGCGGAACAGCCATGCGTAAGGAAGGACTATTTGGGGTGAATTCACCGCAGATGTCGTCCACAGAACCGGATGCATGAGAGCATGAAGCTGTTCGACTCCATCTGCAACAACAAGTGGTTCACACTCACCTCCATCATCCTCTTCCTCAACAAGAAGGACTTGTTCGAAGAGAAGATCTCCAAGAGTCCGCTCACTATCTGCTACCCCGAGTACACCGGTGAGGCAAACCTGCTGGTTCTGCTGAACATTTCTTCTTTTTATACTTGGATTTTCTGCTACTGCTCCTGTGTTTAGTCTATCTGAAAATTTATTTTTAAATTCCCTCAACTTCTAAGATTACCTCAGTATTACAAAAACTACCCTAAAGTTAAGAAAAAATACTTTAATATATCAGGAGAAATAACATCTAACGTCTGTGACGGTGTGGGCAGCATTATGCAGCAGTACATATATATTTTAATTTTTTAATTTTTACTACAGGTGAGAACTCCTATGAAGAGGCGGCTGCTTACATCCAGTGCCAGTTTGAAGACCTCAATAAACGAAAAGACACAAAGGAGATCTACACCCACTTCACTTGTGCCACAGACACCAAGAATGTGCAGTTTGTGTTTGATGCGGTCACTGACGTCATCATCAAAATCAACCTGCGAGAGATTGGACTCTACTGAAGCTCCTGCTGCCTTCCAGGTCAGCGTTCTGACTTTCAGCTGTGCTGCGACTCACATATCAACACCATCTGGTCAGATCGCTCCTTGTTCAGCCCGACACTGATACAGGACAGGGAAATATTTTGATTCCAAGGTGTTATTTCCTTTTCCATTGTCCATATGTGGTATCTGTCTATCTGGCCAGGCAGCACTAGGAAATATTTATTTTTCTAAGAATATCACCAGGTGCAGACTGACTATGAGGCATCTCCCGGTTGCCAGTCCAACTAGTGGTGAGTGGCGGGACCAAAGTTTGGTTTGCGCTAAATAAAAAACAATCCGTGCTGTTCGTGCAGCTCCCTCAGGTACACTGTTGGCTGAATTTTCCATAAACTGCAGCAGCGGAAGGGAGAAGACAGACACCTCCTTCATTCATCATCTGAGGTTGTCAGTGCAGAGACACACACCAGGGGTGCCAACATTTGCATGTCCTGTCGCTTAAAACTCCTGCATATCAATGAGAAACAGCCTGAAATATGACAGGCAAAGCAACTTGTAAAAATATTCAGAATGTTAGCATATTTATTTTCCACAAACAGCCTGAAAATATGATGTTATTTGGCAAAGTAATTTTAAAACATGACAGTTTTAACATCTTTTATCCAAACACATTTAGACTATTATCTGCTTTGTGGTTTGCATTGACTGCTCACATTTAAACAGCAGCATAACAGTTTAGACATTGTGTAACATCCAGACATTTTATGAGAACTGTGTGTGTTTACACTTATTTAAAATGCATGAATTTTGTATAATTTGCCATTGCTACATTTTGTGCTGATACCCTTTAATGGCAGATAAACTTAGTTTACTGTAGAACTGGGATTATTTTTTGCTTAGTGGACCATGGGCTGATCCTGTGTTGGATCAGCCCATAAAGTCCTAAAATGAATTTTACAAACTACAAATGAAACTATAAGGATTTTAAATGGATTATCAAGGTTTATATTATTGTGCTGCTTCATCAACTTTTGAAGCACGCTGGTCTCAGTTCACAAACATTTGTTTTTGGTTATATGGCAATAAGTTTAACTCTAAATGTGGCAGAGATATGAGTGATATGAGCTGTTTATGACGTATCAGTAATTATGTCCGTTTTATTTGCAGGTGATTTGAGGGAATCTGGACTTCTGAGGCGTCTTGACGAATCAGAGCATATCTAAAGACTACATTCATGGCCAGGCGGGATCCAAAGGGCGACTCTGACCACTTTCCTCTCAGTCAGATGATTACTGCGAGTCCAGCTATATTTAATATCTCTTGATTATTCAGACACATGAAGTCTCTGTTGCTTTTATGTTCAGTATGTAATCTGCAAAATGACTAAAATGGATCATTTAAAGGAATACCCATCGCTACATTTCACAGTGGTTCATGAAAGTTAGGTTCACAGTTCTGTTGTGTCTCGTCATAAATGTCCGTGTTTTGCTTTTGATGACTTTTTTGTTTTTGTTAAGTTCTATTTTAATTATTAGATGCAGTTTATAGATTTAATATTCCCACCTTTGGATATGTGAATTTCATGACGTTTGATTTTGGAAAGATTTTGATGTGAGCCGTTTATAAATATGATACGTAATGTAATTGAATTGAAGGTAGATAACTAGAGGTCATTTCCCCACCTATAGTCCACTTAGTTATTTTGACTTACAAGAACAGAATATAGTGAACAATATGTTTGAAACAAATCACAGATGAAATCAATATGAAGGGACATTTTTATTTTACTCTGCTTGTTTATTCTTATTTCATTTTTATTTGGACTATAAATGTTGCTAATATTATTGAATCAGTAAAGGTCAGTGTCTGTTTTTTTTAAAGATGATATTATGCTGAAAACATGAAAGTGGGAGTCATTTCAAAAATATAAAGGAGATAGTTCTACCCTTTAGCCATTTGCCACTGCTGTGTAGTCATGGTAAAAAGAAAATTTCCCTAAATGTCAGCGCAGTTATCTGAAGAACTTGCTGCTTCCACTGGATGATGAAAGTAAAGTAGCAGCCAATTTGAAATGTTCCCACAGGAATGGACGACTTAGCCAGCTCCATCTTTGGCCATGTTCGAAAAACAGACAAGCATGTCTGGTGGGGAAGCAGAAGGTCTCGAAAATGGCAAAGATGCATCTGAATCAAGCCTGCAACTTGAGATTTATGGATGTAATAAAAAGTGCCATGATTTCAGAGAACCGACTCAGCAGATCAGCACAAGTAGCTCATATCAACCATGAAGCATGATGGTGGAGAGTTGATGACATGTACTTTGGTTTGAGATTAATTCAGATGCTTCACTGTGGTATAAAAGGAGGTTTGTATAAAATCAATATAATCAGCTTTTTGAACAGATATTTCCAATGTATGGAGCCCTATAGGGGAAATACATTTCACAGTGGTTCATCAACGTTAGGTTCACTGCTTTTTCTTTTGCATTCGCCTGCAATACTGTGCTGATTAGTTCATGCAGGATACCTGAACTAATCAGTTATGCAGAAAGTACGGTGGATACCGTAAGAAAGGCTTATATTCTTACAAAAGGCTTATATTGCAGCAAGCCTTTTGTGAGGGAACGCAAAAGAAAATAGTTTCCCCATGTTCTGTAGAGGACTTCGAACCAACGTGACTTTGACCAAGCTGACGTCTTCAAAAACTCCTCATCATTATACAAATGGGAATGTCAATGCCTTGTCCGCTGGCTTTATTTTTAGAAAGACACTAAATTAGTTCTTCTTTTGAATTGCCCTTTGTTGTCATTAATGGAAACCTTTGATTATCAGCAATGATTTTCACTTGGCTGCCATTTCCACTTACATCAAAACAGGATTTTTATCAGACAGCGGCTCTCGTCATCGAGCAACAGGCTGAAGCTGTCGCGATGGGCCTCGTCATCCACTACTTTGTTCAGTGGATGAAGATGTGACGGATGTAAAGACACAGACACACACTTGATGTTAATGCATCTTTATTTCATGCCTCTACATTTCATAAGAAAGAACAGATTCACATTCCCTTTTCTCATAAAGCATCCGTCCGCTAATGTTTTTCTCTCGTGTTTCCAGATAATTCATCATTCAAAACATAACTCGTCTATTCTTATGTACAAAGTTCATCTACTGTGTTTGTTGTTTGTCAGATTTATTCATAACAATAAAATGTTCAGTGAATTCAGTACATTAACACTATGTAGGTTAGATACATGCACAATTGGGTTTGTAATCTGGACAAAATGCAAGCACTGGGAACCTCAGCGATATCTGCTCAGCAACTTTTCAGCTTAAATATCAAGATCACAGAGACTATTGCACTCAAAAACAAAACAAAGAAAATTGTCTATTCAGAATTTTTTTTTCTTTTCCCAAACGGCTTTAATTGTTTTCACATAGCTTGGCTTTGAGATCAATTATAATTTACAATTCATAAGTTTTAAAAACTCAATGATAATCACAGAAGCAGCTATTTCATCTTCGTACCTTTAATCTTTTAGCTGTGTGGGAATCTGAGGCTCCACAGCGTTCACATGGTGACTTCGTAGCTGTTTTTACCCAGCCGGACATGCAGAGAGTTGCAGGAAGGTAACGTGGGAGATGATGATATTCTCTAGGAGCGTTCAGCCACAACTTGATGTGACGCTGGCATAAAACACAACAGTCTGAGGACGCCCTGTTGCCCTGCTGGTACACTTCTTTCCTAATGCCAATGTGTGCGGGGCTCAGGTTGAAAAAGTTGTTCTGAAATGAGAGATGAGGAAAAGTTAAAAGCTGCTTAAGAAAACAGAAAAATAAACTGTTGGGAGGTTGTAAAGTCTTTATCACAAGTGGTCGTGAGCATTATATCAGTCTTTCTATTTATAGTTGTCATCCTCAGCAGTCCACAGGGGTCCAACCTTTCTTGCCTGCAGTTGTTGTTGGCGAGCGACACAGCGGCCAGAGAATATTGACTTCATTACGTTTGCAGGGCTCTGTCTCATGTGGGACCCGTCATTGTGTGTGAAGACAGTTTTAAAAGACCTCGTACCTCTCTCCCGTCACTCCGGAGATGCTTAGAACAGACCGCAGTCTTTAAGGTTTTCTTTGATGATGATGTCCGTCACGGCGTTGAACACGATCTCGACGTTCTTCGTGTCTGTGGCACAGGTCATGTGGGAGTAGATTTCTTTCTGACCTTTCTTCATGTTCAACTCCTCGAATTGTGTCTTGATGTAGCTACTGGCATCATCATATGTGTTGGGGCCTGAAAGACGTTTTTCGACACATACATGCATCAGTTAATCGAGACAAACCAAAACTGCTCTGTCGTCAGTAAAACTCTTTTTTTGTTCTTATGTTAGCATATTTTTTTCCAGGCCAAGAGCTAGAAAAACACAAAATGACAAATTTGTACACAAAGGCCCAACTTTAAGATCTTTGTCATCCACACCCAGGTTCAATGCTGCCTTTGCGTTGGGATTAGTGGCGTGGAATACATTACTTTTAACTTGACATGAACATTTCATGTTGTTATTACTATTTTTCTTTTAATTAATAAGCAACTGTCCATTGACGACCTGTCCAGGATGTACCCCGCCTCTCGCCCAGTGGCTACTGGAGAGATAGACACCAGCCCCCCACAAAGCAGCAAGGAAAGGAGACTATAGATCACGGGAGCCCAAAGTCGGTCCTCGAGGGCCGGCATCCTGCATGTTTTAGTTCTCTCTCTGGTTTAACAGATCTGGATCCAATGACGGCTCGTTAGAAGGCGTAAGAAGAACATTTACATGCTGAAAAGGTTGTCACTACCGCCAGGGAGAGAACTGAAACCTGCAGGACGGTGGCCCTGGAGGACCAAATTTGGGCACCGCTGCTGCAGACGACGGATGATCTTGCAGTGATCCAGGAGTGCACTGAAGACAAACATAGGATGTGGGTAACAGCTGTGTGTTGTCATTTGTAATTTCAGTTTCAAACATTCAGAATGCTAAGGTGAGGGACTGTTCTTCAGTAGCAGCAGCATAGATAGAGACTACATAATGTTATTGATGTGTCATTGTTGCAGTATTTGACTCACAGTTGCATTTATTCAGAGTCGGTCGAGGTCTGTTGGAGCTGAGGTGCTCGTCCACTAAACTAAATGATAAATAGACTTCTATAATATGTAATTTCCCATTATATTATCTATGGTTTAAATTTCTTTAAATATAATGCTGGAGAAAGTGTGACTGTGGTTTCTCCCCTGTGTTGGGTTTCTCCCCTGTGTTGGAGCATAGATAAATTCAGTGTTGCTTTTTTTACCCTCATAAATAGCCTCGCCCTCTTTGGGAGGCAAATCAACTACGTTTGGCGCAAAAAGATGTGTTTTAGGAGTTTTAGGTGTCTGATTGTTACAAACAGGAGTAACTTCTAGCTACTGACTGTAAAAGTGACACAAGAAAGTCTTTATCTTTATTGAGAGAGGTTTCAGAACTGGATTTATTACAGTTAGATTCATTGTATCTCCAGATAACACATAATATTCTCATTAAAAAATCCACAGCATAATTTCTAGATAATGCAAGCCCTTAAATATTATACATATTTTATATTCATAAAGTAGAAATATGCATCTATGACGTACATGAAGAAAGTATGTTTTCAAATATCTGTTTTATGTTTAAATTGCTCTAAATACCCCAGAAGCTGCTTCCATTCAAAATAAAGCCTCTGATTGCCCCCAACGTTGGGTGGAGTCCCTGGAAAAGCAGCTGAATCACTTCATTTGTGTTTTTTCTTTGGTGTAAATAACATTAGTCGGGATTTTTTTTCTCAAAAGTTATCAACCTGTGAAACTATCGCAATACGTTGGCATTTGTTGAACGTACCGTCGTAGTCAGGGAAGCAGATACTCAGATGGACTTTCTTGATCTTCTCCTCAAAGAGATCCTTCTTGTTGAGGAAAAGCACAATGGAGGTCAGAGCGAAGAATCTGTGGTTGCAGATGCTGTTGAATAGATGGAGGGACTCGTGCATGCGGTTCTGGAAAGACCAGAGACACAAAAACTGTCACGACATGCTTTGGTTTTTTCAGACAACACTGCAGCCATTCTGGCTCACCACTTCATCGTCTTCTACAAGCACCATGTCGTAAGCACTCAGGGCTCCACAGAAGATGATGCAGGTCACACCCTCAAAACAGTGGATCCACTTCTTTCTCTCTGACCTCTGACCTCCAACATCAAACATCCTGTAAAAGTGTAAAAAGTTGAAACAAGCTCTCTAAGTGGCAGAACTGGGAACCTTTATTTAGATTTTTTTAAATTTTATTTCTGAGATTATTGGGATGATATGGATTTTTAAATCTGTTCAAATTAGGAGATGCACTCTATCTACAGGTTTAATTATTTACTTCAGGTTGTCCTACAGGTCAGGAAGGTCAGGAAGTTAACTTTGGGCCAACATGTTTCCGTGGACAGTGCAGTCAACTCGTTTTCCATCGATATGTAAATGTTGAAGCTCACCTGAAGTGCAACTCTTTGCAGGAGAACTGCTCCTCAATAATACCAGTTGTTTTGACTCGAGATCGCAGCACGTCCTGCTCGGTGGGCATGTAGTCCGGCAGACAGATTCGGTCCATTTCGCTGAGGTAGCTGGAGATGTCAGGACGAACAGCAAAGCAATCAAGATTTGCATATATGCCCTTTGTAGCTACACAATAACTGGCCTTTTCATGAGAAAAGCTGCTCACTATCCAGCAGAGTCATTCAGTTGGTACTCAGCGGCTCTCTCGAACGCGGCCTGCACTCCAGAGTCTTTCCACAGCTTCTTGATGACATCGGAGAG